ATATTACTTTATTTCAGGAAAGTTACTTTATTTTGGTAACGTTATGACTTTATTTTCATATTATTACAACTTTATTTTAGGGGAAGCTAAGTGTGCTGTGTTTTCAAAGCTCCAATATTAGTGCATTAGCAGATTAGTGGAAATGTGCCCACCACCGTAGAGGTCATTAAGGAGTTTTGTGAACTGATCAGCAATGGTACTCCAGAGTTGGTATGATCCACTTCAGAGGATTCTGAAACTATAATACAAGAATTTATTGTTTGAAAATAATAAATGAATTCTAAAATGGTTATTATTTTTCAAATAACTGTTTAACTCTTCATTCTACTCTACAAGACAAAATTGTTTTTACTTGTTTTGGCAGGGAGCTTTCCTCCTTTTGACCATGACGTTTGCCTTTCTCTTTCCTTTTTACAGACGTGAAGATGAAGCTCCAGTGATGACAGCGTCTCAGGTGTTTGAAGAGTTCATTTGTCAGAGGTTAATGCAGGGATATCAGATAATAGTCCAAACAAACAACAGAAAACCTCCTCCTGCAGTGGCCACACCCCTTGGCAGCAGTCCTCTGTACACTAGAGGTAACTAAATCTGATCCAGAGAACTGACCAGTTACAGCTATGAGGAAAAAACAACACAAATTTAGACTTCAGTAAATGAATACTTTTTTAAGCATAGTGTTAAAACAACAGTTTTCATTTTTGTCCTCAACATTATCTTTGTCATGGTCAGTGCTAGGCATGGGTGATGCAACCTATGAAGGGACAGGAAAACATAAAAAAACAAAAAAAAACCAGCATTTTGCCATTGTTGTTGCCCAAGGTCTGGTGTCTTTGCGTCGAGCGGAGGAAGAAGAGACGGTTTACTGGCTCAGCATGGGCCGCACCTTCCATAAGGTCTGCCTCAGAGACAAGATCATCACTGTCACTCGCTACCTGCCAAAGTGAGTGCTTCTGACATCATCCTACTCAAATTCACTGAAAAGTTATCTTAACTCTTGAAACCTCTAAAAGACGTGTTATTACTGAAAAAACTACAGCTGATTATCTGATAGTTACCCTGGCTAAAACTAAAAAAGACTAGCAGGTTATGACATTTTGGTTTGATTTTATTATAGGATTTTCTTTATTAACATGACAGATATTTTTAAAGTAGTGTTTATTAAAAAAATTGAAAAGAAATCACGTTCTGGGGGGAAAACAGTTTTATAATCTTTGGTTTCCAATTTAAAGCAAGGAAGTGAGGATTTGGTGTGTGTGTCTGTAGGTATCCGTATGAATCAGCTCAGATCCAGTACAGTTACAGCCTGTGTCCTCCACACTCGGATGCTCAGTTTGTGTCCTGTTGGGTGGAGTTTGGACATGAGCGGCTGGAGGAATACAAGTGGAACTACCTGGACCAGTACATCTGCTCGGCTGGCTCTGAGGATTTCAGGTGCACACAAATGAATGTTGTCACAGAGCACATGCAGCACCTAGCAACAGCACTAATGTACCAGGAAGTGTCACATTTTGGCAATTTAGGACAACAAACTTTAATGTATCTGGTGGGACTGTATGTGAAAGACCAACAAAAAATTGTGCATATTTATGAAGATGAAGGAAATTAAGCATTATTTTTTTCTCTTCATTTTTTCATTTTACGAAAAAATAGGAGTGTCCATTGAGTGTTGAATATTTAGACCTTCGCACGCACACACACGCACACGCACGCACACACACACACACACACACACACACACACACACACACACACACACACACACACACACACATCCTTATATACATATATGTATATAAGGATCTTTTCTTTTTTTTCTCTCTCTGAGATATGATCGCTGCAGGGATTCCAGATCTTAATCTGATTGAACATTTGATTTGGGTTTGGAAATGAAGGCTTTTTGAAGTCCCTCTTCCAGTATCACCTGCTCAAATTCAATTCAGTGTATGTATATTGCGCCAATTTATAACAAATGTCACCTTGATTCAAGTCATTTCAGTTCAATCACACTTACATTTCAATTGATCTTAGTTACCAAACAAAGCTCTGTTATCAAGCTGTTTGAGTAGCAACAGATAGCATTCGTTGCTCACTGATTGGCTGTGATGGTGGAGTTGCTGCTTGTGTCTCTAGAGTAACTCTGTCGATGGCTGCTCATGGGTACCAGCCAACACCAAAGCAATGAGAGGCTTAAAAAGCTGAAAAGCCGACCATCAAATACCGCAGTGGTCAGAGTGGTTTGAACTAAGCAGGCAGTTGGAATCTCAGTGATGATTATTATATTCCTTCACTAAAAGCTTTGCATCAATGGTAATGGTTATCTATACTATTCATACCTCTGGCAGATTTAAGTTTACAGTAACCTTTATGTTATCTGAACATGTTTTTTCTAGGTGCACCAATAAGTTGGCCCTGATTTCTTTTATTTTGGGTTATCGGTGATTGATTGATACTTACACAATTTTATCTACCAATCTTATCTACCTCCATAGATGTCGGAACATCAGTCACTGTCCTCTTTTGCTCTGCAGTGAGAGAGGACTAACTGACTGGCTCACCCACCAGGTCAGGTCTGCACAGGGCGGTTAATAAGTCACTTCACTGTTGCCAACTGAACGACTTTGTTGCTATATTTCAGACAAAAAAATTGATAAGTCAGGCTTTTAAAAGTTCTGTGATTGACCAGAAAACTGCAATCGGTGCAACCCTATTTCCTTCCATACTTGAATGTGATGGAGTTTTGTTGAGGCTAAAGATTAAAGTGATGACAAACTCAAAGACATGGAGCTCATCACCAAAGATAAAAGTAAAATAATAAAGGTTTTGAGTGCAATAAGCACTTTTATATTGATTATTGACAAAGGTATGATTAATTTGCAACTTGCTATTTTGTATAAAATGTAGATAAATCTGAAATTATTTATTTCCAGATAAATACTTTCTCATACATTATATTGTTCTCATTGAAGAGATGACTATCTCATTCCATCAGGAACAGACTCCTTATCTGAATAAAAATCATTTTTTAAATCTAAATCTGCGCCTGTACCCTGCCTCTATTTTAGCTGCACAAATTCCTTAAGTTATTCTGGTAAGTAAAATAATTCATCCTTAGTTTTCGTTCATTTTTTTTAGCAGAAGAAAACCACTGCAAATGTGTGGTTGAAGCTATGTTGAAAGGTTTGTCTCTGCCCAACAGCCTGATCGACTCACTGAAGTTCTGGCGGACCCGCTTTCTGCTGCTGCCGGCCGGAGGGGCTCGGCGGGTGGCAGACGGGGAGGGCCACTGGGACGTGTATGGAGAGGGGGCGGGTACTGGGATGGGTGGCTGTGGGGACTGGGTCCTATTGGACGGCTTCATTCGCTTTGTGGAGGGCCTCAACCGCATACGGCGACGGCATCGCTCTGACAGGATCATCAGGGTGAGGATCGTCTCATGACTTTCTGTAGGCACTTTCTGATGCTGTTTAGGGCTCAAATGATTAATCGTAATTAAATGATTACTGCAATAATTGTTAACTAATTTAGTAATCGACGAATTGTTAACTGGAGCATGCAGACTCAAAAAAGGCCATTTGTTAAAAGAACAACATAACCAGAGCAGTAATGAAGCCAAAACTGTACAAAAATATACATTTTGCTTTTTTTTAAAATAAAAAAAAAAAACATTTCTCTGCAAATATGTTCTACCCATATTTATGCTTGTCAAGTGGCATAATTTTAGCTTCACCTGATTCAAAGACTTTAAAAATAAAATCTCCTATTAAGCACCCTTTGCTATCCAATTATCCTTTACTAATCACCAGATTAGCCATACACTGAAGTAAATCTGAAAGAATTGCAGCAGAAAGGACTGAGCACTTCACATGCTGCTGTTGGAAGAATCTTTAGCTGCAGATGCATCCTTTGCTATGAATGAAATGCTGTTGTTACATTTCAGACAGTAAAATGCATATTTTCTGATTTATAAAAGGAATTGAATTATAGCCTGACCCATCAAAAAAATAGTCAGAAAATTCTAATTTTTTAGAACTAAGATCTTCATGAAGTTTGTTTATTTCTCTGTGTTTTTGTTTTTAATGATGTAAAGCACTTTGAAATGCCTTGCTGCTGAAATGTGCTATACAAATAAAATTTGATTTGATTGATTGATTGATGAAGCCTTGAAGCAAAATCTAATAATGTTTAATTTGCCATGTCATTTATTTTATGAGATATTTTTGTATCATATTTGATACAGCAGGCTTTTCTTACAACTTTTGGCTCACAACAATGTAAGTTTTAGATGCAAAAACAAATATTGCCTATAATATTTAGAAAGTATGGAACACTTTAGGAAGTTTTTCTCTTAGTTTTTTTTCCACCAACAATTTTTTTACAGCCATTTATTTCACTTCGTGGTAGGCACTAAAAGAGTTTCTGTCCTTGTTCAGGCAAAGATGTACGTTCAACGTTTTACAGTAGAGATGTGAAAAGTGATTGAGTCTCTGTTGGGCTTCCCATGTTGGAAAATGATCAATGCCATTCTTTCTCACATCAAGAGGCACACTGCAGCTTGGTCTTCTACAGGGTGCCATAATAATGTCATTAAGTGTTATTACACTAATAAAACAGTAACAAAACAGTAATTAATATTTCCCCTACCTGAAATAAAGCAAAACAAGTAGGACCAACAATAAACATTTCACTAAGCTTTATTACACTGTCAAATGATTTAATAACAGTCATTAATAATTCCTTTTACATCAAGTGGATCAAGTAGGACCAGTTACGAAGGTGTCATTAAGTGTCATTGATATTATCTCTTACCTCACGTAAAACAAGTAGCAACAATTATAAAGATGTCATTCAGTGTTATTACAGTGTCAAATGCTATGCTAACAGAGTCATTGATATTAAATCTTACCTCAGGTGAATTAAAACACACTGAACTACTTATATCTACCATCATAGCTGTAGAACTTTGTACATTGGAATAAAACAAAAGATTACTTATTCTTCAAACAGAGGGTTTAACATCTGTAACTCTGAAGCACTGATTGAAAAACTAAATTAGAATTATTTATTCTTTAACTTCAGAAAATAAGTTCTTTCAACAGTCAGCTGTGTCCTTCATTATAGTCTTCCTGTAATGCTCTGAAAACAGGGACATCTTCTTCTTGTCTTCATTTTCTGGCAGCAGCTCTTTGAAGGTGTCCAGAAAAGCTCAGAAATTATAGCTGTTCTTGCAATAGTTGAAGTCAATGATAATCATGGTGAAAGCCTTTTCATGAATTCAAACTTGGTGAATCTCTTTTGGACATTTTCATAGTGGGTGATGATTTAATTCATTGTGGTCACCTAAAAAAAAGAACATAAACAAAAACCAAAAACAATGTGATCTTAATTCAGCA